TCATTTTTGCTACTCGGAAAATCGGTACGGGTCAATAATATGCACGTGAATATTGCGATATGTTCAAGTAGGTTGACCAGTGTTGCCTGACAACTGCGACTATGAATCCTTTTGGCGAGGTTGTTCGGTGGGTTTGAGGTTCCCTTTGATTAAGAGCATCAGTTTGACCCTACAGTTAGTGTGTTCACTGGCGTGTCTGCATTACCTATACCTGTGAATGTATGTGTCTGTGTAATGTTAGAGGTTTGAAAGGTTCTGCGAATGGGAAGGTTTATATTGCTTGTTTTTTAATGAACGTCTATCGTATGATCTTTCAATGGTTAAATATTTTTTGTTGTTGATATATATTGTGAAACAGCTAAGGCAGCAACTTTTAAACAGAATAAAGAGGATGGCTTATGCTCAGAAACATTCGACATTGAGGCGAATATTAATACGGACACACACGTCGGTGGTCTTAAGGATACGGATGAAATCAAAGCCTTACAGGTAGTGCATGTGTGTGTGTAAATGAGATAGAAAGAGAGAGCTTGTGTGTAGTTGTGTAGTGATATTGAGAGGTAGATATATCACGCATCCTAAGCATGTATTTAGTCTGTATTTCATATACCTATGTATGAATATATACATATATAGGTTATGTGGAACCCCATATTTTTGTCGTAGTATATGCGTGTGTTTGTACGTGTTTCCGTACGCGAAGGACACCTAAGCTAGCACGCGAGGGGATACTAGCGGATAAAAAGATATAAAGTCAGAGATTCGGATATGTATATCAGTAGGCTCTCTACTTATATGTAGTACTCTCTCATATACTTATGAATATACAGTGCAATTCAACGTTTACAAGACACATACTTTTGGCCACGCATTTAGGCTGGCTTTCTACTTGTAAGTAGTTCCTCCCATATAAATCAATATGATTTATGCAGAATACATGAATTCATTCAACAGAGTGGTATAGCTTCTAAATATTTCATAATCATACGGTATAAGTTAATATATCCTTGACAAATTAACGAGATTCTGGTATGTGTCGTAACTGTTTGTTTGTCTGTAGGTAGTGACCTCTCATGTACATCTGCAGTATACAGTCGAGTCGAGTCACATTGTATTTTCTTCTATTTCCATTGCTAGCATAACGAGATTCCGTATTTGTACAGTATATCGTATCCTTTTCCAATTTCCTTTACCAATTATCGAGATCCTGTTGTATTCCGACTGACTTTGTACTTGACTTCGCAACTCCACTGCGCAGGATAAGGGCATGTCCTTTGACGAAGCTCGTTTACAGCTTACACGACAAAGAATGATACAGAACGGAATAGACCCTGCCACTGGCTTACCCATGGATGAGAAGGCTGTATACAATGTATGTGTGCATATGTATTGTATATATATATATATATATATATATATATATATATATATATATATATATAGTATAGTGTGTAGTTGTAGTAGTAGTATAGTATAGT